TATAATCAGAGGCTATAGTTTCTGTGTTCAATTGTTTTTGGTTCTAATTCGTTCTTAAGAGATTCGATTGTCCTCCATCCTAGAGATGTGCAATCCGACCAGTACCGACCCGTACCCGACCCGAAGGTTGGGTACGGGTACGAAGTTGTCGGGTACGGGTACAGCAGTTACGGGTACCGGTTCTATTTCTTTTTAATTTACCCAAAAACCAGAAGGTTCTAGTGGAAAACCCACAAAATTTTAGTGAAAAAATACAGGAATTTAGCTAAAATACATGAAGATTTAAAAAAGAATTACTTGAGAACATTATGATAATTTGACATCTTCAGTCGAAAAACAAAAGTTTTCAGCTGGAAAACAAAAAAGAGAAAATGTTTAGGGTATAAAGTTCTCGGGTCGGGTCGGATACGGGTGGAAAAAAAATTTTCGGGTCGGGTCGGGTACGGGTACAAAGTTGCCGGATCGGATCGAGTACGGGTGGAAAAAAAATTTTCGGGTCGGGTACGGGTACGAAAATGGTCACATCTTCACTCTATCCGAATGTAATGTCAGCAATGTTTTGAGAAATTTTCTTAACGGTAAAAAGGATTTCTATGAAAAATCGTTCGGTTTTTCCGTACTCAAAATTATAATATCAAACTTTCGAAAGCACAAAAAATCCAGTTTCTCAATTTTATAGATGGTTTTGAGCCATACCTTTGGAAAGAGCATCAAAAATTGACTATGTTCCGTGTGTTTTAAGGAACAGAAACGTAGGATTATTCACTTTTTATAAAATCGGTTTCTAAAGATCGTTTTTACAGCAGTCTGAAAAACGGTCAGATACCAATTTAAAGGGCGAGATAAAATTTTTCCTTATATCTCGTCTCAAACAGCACACTTGACTCTACAAAACAAGATCATCCGGGGCTCTCTATAACACCAACAACTTGGCCTTGAAATTGACGGAGGACGTAGGATAAATGTAACTTGTGTTTTTCCCTAGAAATAACAGATTTTTGCGGTTACAAAAGCAACATTTAAGTTGCTACTACTAACATTACTGTTTATGTTATCTTAAAACTTGTTGCGTCTTGTTGTCAAGTTTTTGACATTTAATGATGTTAAGTTGCTTTTATTTATTTTGAGTTATAAGTTTATCAACGACAGATAGTTTTGTTCGTCTATAAGATTTTTTCTTCAAAGCAAAAACAAAAATAATGAAGAAAAGAGTTGTTCCCTGACACATGAAAGACATGACAGTGATTCCATGTAGGCATGTGACAGTTCAAGTTCAACAGTTCGTGTGAGCTGAATCGAAGAACTGGGTTCCCAGCTCAAGCTCATATGAACTGAATTGGTCACCAGCTCCAGTTCACATGAATTGAACTGCTCACTAGCTCCAGTTCACATGAATTGAACTGCTCACTAGCTCCAGACCTCACGTAATGTTCGAACGTTATTGAGCATTTGCTCAATCTAGAAGTCACCGTGAGCAACAGCGTGCAGCTTTAAAAGTGAATGTTCAATAAAATTATAACTCACGAGCCGCGACCGACTATATAGAATTTATTACTCGAAACGTCCAAAGAGTGGATGATAAGATCCAGTTCACATGAATTGAACAGATCACCAGTTCCAGTTCACATGAATTGAACTGCTCACCAGCTCCAGTTCAAGTGAACGTGAACTGGTTCGAACAGCTCCAGCTCTATGAGTGGAACTGGAACTGTCACATATCTAATTCCATTAGAGGAAAGTGTCACTCTTTATCTTTTTCAAAATACAATAAATTTTCATAATGATTTAGAGAATGGTCTTGAGTTTTGCAGAAGTTTTTCAATGGATATATGTAATATCACTTAATAAAGACCTTTGACCTTTTCTTCGCCGAAGGTATCGCAGAATATGACGAGTTTTAGAAATTAATTTTTTTCAGATTTGTTATTCGAGTGTGACAAGGAAAAATGTTTACACTAGTAAAGAGTAACGAACAAAACAGACTTCAAAACGTCTGGAGAACGAATGGAAAAGAGAAATAACGTTGCAGTAACGTTTAAAACTACTATAAAAGCTAGGTTATTGCAGGCTTACTAAATGCTTAATTGTTTGTTATCTTGTTCTGGCATGTTTGTTATTTAGACTATGATTGCTTTCAAAGCGATTAACAATCTTCATGCTGTACTTTACAGAATTTAAAATACGAACAGAAAACAAACATGTCGTATATGATGCTATATTTTTCTGTATTAAATGATATCTTTTATAAATTATATTCATCTTGTTTTGGAGATACGAATTTCCAAAAAAACGAAGAATTGATGCTTAAAAAGAACTTAGATCTATGAGCAGAACAAATCTGTACGAATAATATCAGTTTTTCTCTATTAAACTAATTAAACCTATTATTACAGTTCAAAATAGAAAAATAACCACATAACAAACAAAAAAATATTCAAAACACGTAATATACATCTCTAAACTAAGCTAAATACAGTATCTCACACTCACATCCACACTAATATACTATCATTTCTCTCGTCTATTGTCCATCGTTTATCGTCCAACAATGTACCTATTATTGAATAATCGTATGAAACATGAGAAACAATTATCTTCAACAGTACTAAATGTTTCATTTGTTCAAACACTACGGGTAACACCCGTTGTAAATCATTCTCGTCTATCTCACATGCTAGCAGTTGTAACTTTGGCAATGTTCGAACGAGTTCACCAGCTCTTTCAAGTGTTAAATTTGTCCAGAGTTCTAATCGAACAATTCGTCGCGGATGTGACATTTGACTTACTACGTCCATCAATTTTTCGAAAATATCTCTGTGGCGAATCATTAATGCTTCAAGATTTGGCGCACGATTCAATACTTCGGTTAAAAATATTTCTATTTCAATTTTGTCATTGAAGCTGTTTTCAAGCACAAATTTCTTCAGTCGCGGTAGTGATGAAGCAACAGTTTTGTTCAGTAGCGATAACCATTCACCGCTCATGGACGGCAAACAACTGCCAAAAAGAGAGAATATCAACACTTTTAATTTACGAAAATGACGATCGCTATAATTTTCGTTTGTTCGAATTTCTAATGTTCGAACAAGATCATAATCTTCATTCCTGAAATAAATAAAAATTCAGCGTTGTCAACATAAACTATCTGATTCCAAAGATGGCATTATGACCAAAATAAATGTAAGAACTAATCTGCTTAAGGCCTTCGAGAGCATATAGCACAGTGGGCAATCAGGCGGACATTAGGCGGAAAAACGAAAGTGAGATTTTTCGCGATTCAAACAGTGTCATATATACACTATTCAATGGCCTATCTGATGGTGAAAAAATTTTGATCCAATTGCTTAAGCTGGCGGAGAAAAGTAAGTTTCAAATTTAGGGTCATTTTTGCGCCAATTTTAGAAAAACCTGCTCTTTTGTTTAGGCAGGTAGTGTTGTTAAAATTGAGACACATATATTTTGAAAGCTGGATGTTTGGGCTATCGTTTGATAAAAAAAGATTTCTTATTTATGCCATTCATGACCAGTAAAAACTGTTCTTTTGTTATATTATATGTTTTTCCAAAACATGCATTCAGAAAAGTGGTCGCCCCCTCGAGCCCCAAGCTCTGTTGGAGCGCCAACTTTTAACCAATATTCGTCCATAGGTAGTGCATTTACAAAACATGCAGAAAGATGCAGCTCTTTTCCGTTTCGGATTTATAGGTTTTCCAAAAACCTTGGGTTTTTATTGGATTTTGAGCGTTTTTTCCATCAACCAATAGTCTTGGCTGAAAAGTAAGGACATAATCGGAATCAGCGTGAAAAACTGCATCTAATGATAGGTCTTTTAACCAGTTTCAACGAAAGTCTGCGCAAGTTTCCAAAAACAGTGTTTTTCCAATATTTTCCTCTAAAGTTTGAGCTGAAGTTTTTTGCAGTAATCGCGAGTGTTCAAAAATTGTGAAAACCCGTTTTCTCTACGTTTTCGACCATGGTGAGTCTAATGGTGGCATTTAAAAATTTCATCATGGTTTTTCGGAGGGTTTTTAGAGTTCGGATCTCTAGAAACCCCCTCAAAACCCGGATTTTTGGAAATTTTCTGGTCTCATAAAAAAGAGCATGCAAGAAAACCTACCGAGGCTTTGTTTTGAGTCAAGTAAAACTGAGTTAAACCAAATGTCCGCCTGCCTGTAGAAAATTGCCCACTGTGATAGCGGCAAAATATCCTAAGACTAAAGTGGCTCAATTAGGTACCATCTTTTCTTTGCACGTCTGTTATGTAGCGCTCGTCTAAAGTTGAAACGTATAGGGTAAACTCTTGTTACTAAACTTAATCTCATTTCTCCCGTCGCAATTGTCAAAATTATGCGAAGTACTAATATTAAAACAAGTACCGTTGAGAACCAATGATTATAACCGTTTTCATATCGTTACTATACGACTGAAAATCATACTTTGTCTTCGGATAGGGTAATGTGTATATACGTGAAGTATGTTTATTATAATGAAATTCAACTGACAAATTGTGTTGAATCCAGAATTGATTTGATACTTGAAATGTTTGTTTAATATAATTCAAATGTGTTTCATTTGTATCTGAGACTGGAGTATCAACCATAATTTCGATTTTACACGTAAAAGGCAATGATGATAAATATTCAGCCCAAAAATCACCCGAATAATATAGTAAATTTCCCGTAAATAGTAGTTGTATTGATACGTATTCGGCATAATGACTAATACTTATTATCAAGTAATTAATATCATCATTATGATTGATAAAATGGTGAACGGTCAGTTTCAAGTGCGTTAGATTTGGATAACTAAACGTTGTCGGTGAATATGGTGGTTTTGTGAGGAGTAACGATAATTCTTTGATGACTGTCAAACTTTTGATTGACTGTGGAAGATAATAGATGAGATTTCGATCACATTCTTTGAGTGTTAGCTGTTCGATAGACGATTTTTTCAGGTATGCGTACCCTTTTTTACTGATTGTAGATAAATCTAATCTTCTTAGAGATTTCACTGTCAAAATTTTCTTGATAACATCTTTTTCAATGTTTCTAAACAAATCATCGTCAATCTTTAGTGTACATAGGTGTTTTAGATGTCGCAGTTTGAAAACAATAGCGCTGAGATTGTCGTGGTCTGCTTTTACAATGACTAATTTTTGAAGATTGATAAACTGTTTAATATCAGTTAAGGATAGAAATAAATCAATAGCTCCCACTTTGTGTTTCTCAGCTAAATTTAGTGAAAGAATTGAGCCAGTATGACAAAGAGATGACTGACAAACATTTTTGTATGTTGTTAAGAATATATTCGACGATAAATCAATAAAGAGCGGAATAGAATTAATTAAGCGATTTAGACGTGAATTAAGTCCAGAGAAACCAGCAATAATTTCACAGGACATTAAATAATCAAAAATGTCACGCCATAATTCAATCGAGAGTTGTTCGATTGTTGTCACAGTAGACACTAAAAAAAAAGATATGCATCACTTTATTATGAAGAGGAAAGCCGCTAAGACAATTTATTGAAAAACAGCTTTTCATATTATTCTCCATTTCACAATAGAATGTCATTGATTATTGTGTTGACTATGTCGAAAGTAAAAAGAGTTAGAAAGTTCGAAGTTTTCTTGTGTAGAGAAAACTTCACTGTATCTTCTTAAATATTTGACGATAAGCATCTCGGTTTTTCACATAATGTATTTGTCGGGTGAAAGCAAGAAGAAATTCTCAGATTCTGAAGTTGAGAAGGATCTTCAATGTAACATAGCGGCTAAATAGCCTAAAGTATCCTCCCTCCATAGGGGCCAATTTCTTAAAAAAAACTTATATGAAAACTTTGTATTAAGTCAAAATTTTTAGCTAAATGTGTTTCTCAAATATTAGTTAACTTAAATCACCTCTCAATCTCACTTAAATTTTTAAGTGGAAAAATGTTTAAATTTTTGTAAGTTCTTTATTTGAAGTCCGTAACTCAGCCAACTCACCATAATTAGGCTGAACATAATTTTTCAGAGATTTTGTTCAGAAAATTGTTGTAAAATAATCTAAGTTGTCTAAATTACAAATGGTTTTTACTGCATGACCTCTGTTTGACTTAAGTTTTTTTAAGAAACCGGCCGCAGTTCTGCACAAAATCAACATCTACATGCTCTCTAGTTCTTGGGTGGGACGTACTTTCTAATGAGCAATTCGTTATTGTTAGGTCTGGTAATCTTAGAAATCAACAGAAACATAATTTATCGATCATGTTGAGCCTCGTGGCAATGCTTGTTTTTCGAGAAACAAACTCAGCAACAGATAAAGCAGTGCTATGAAAACTGTTAGTTCTAAGGAAAAATGTACACTAATAGCTATTGTAAACTGCCCGAAACTAAATTTCATATGTCAGTTCCTGAATGAATCTGGTCATTTAAGTTAAAACTTAATTAAACAAAGCTTTAATGAGATAGTAAATTCAGCGAAACTAAGTCCACCACACTTAGTGAAGAAGTTTTATGCTACACACCTCTTTGAAATAAAATTTTAAAACGTCTTCAGACGTCTCAACTCTTGATGTCAAGAAGACAGCCCAGGTCGCAGGAAATGAGACATAAATGAGACATGTATGGCTCATTTATGATATGAAGTGAAAATGATCATATTATGATCCTAAAATGATTTAAATATGAGCTTAAAATGATATCATATTTGAGTCATTTTAAGACCATTTCATAAAATGAGATAAAAATGATGTA